CCATTCAGGTGGGTTAATATTTGACCCAGTCACGCCCACGGAAAAGGTGAATGACTCTCCATGTTTGTCCAAGAGCAGTGTCCTTGGTTTTCATGTCTCTGCCAGGATTGGGGATCTTTAGATCTAGTCTTCCCACCTCATTTATCTGATCACTATATAATCAGAACCAAAAGGGGCCTGTGGGTTCACACAGCTGGACCCCATCTCCAAGAACAAACAGCTGGAACCCATCTTCAGTTGGAGGGAAACTTCCAGACTTTTGTAAGATTCTTCCTCCTGGGTAATCTATTTTTCTGTTTATTTATATGTATACTATTTCTAGACATCCATCCACTTCAGTGAAACCATTTTTTTCCGTTTTAAAAACTCTTGGTCCAAGTTCACAAATTAAGAAGGAAATAAGTCAGATTCTAAAATTTAAAATACACACAGATTTCTTCTAGGACAGCCTAAATGTAGATAAAAGGAAATTAGTGATACTGGGAACAAGTGGAGATTTAGGAAGTTTCCTAAATTGTGATAAAGTCCCCAAAGATCTGGGAAAAGCATTTGCTGAAGGGTATCTGGAGCCCCACCCTTCCGCCCCTGACATTAGATGTGGCTTAACAAGGAAAGAAACAGAGTATACCTTCAGCTCTGTTTTCTTGTAATCTTTCCTGCTAATTTCTTTCCTTAAGAAGGTTTTGGATGCTCTTTGAAAGCACAATAGAACAACATAAGAGCAAAAAAAGGTACACTGCAGGTTGAAGAGAAGAAGGAAGGAAAGGGGACAAAGGAGGAACATTAAGTGTTCCACTTCCACTTTGGAGAATATTGGCCTAGGACATATAAAAGTGTGAGACTATATTTACGGAAGCTATAACCATAGTTACTAATCATAAACTGTCAAGTTAACTCCCTAGTGAATAAAGTTAGATAGATCTCTTGACTACAAAGCATTACCTATAGGGAGAGAGAATATTCATTTTTGAGAAGACTAAGTGATTGGTTTGAGACAGAAGGTAAAGTTAATCTAAAAAACAAATTGTGGGACAAATTCCAGTGGCAAAAACGTGACAGTTATGTGCTTGGGTGTGGAATGACACGTGTGAATGGATTTGACCACCAGATTTCTGCACCCTTGGCCTAGGCAGATTTGCTTCTCCACCACGAATAACCTCTTACTTGTTTTCTCCCAATTCTATTTGACGTCTTTTGGGGGAAATTTAGTATTGAGTATATAAGTGAGGAGGTTATGAGTGGGAGAGCAGATGTTACTAGTGGCCCTAGTGCATACTTGCCGGGATTGGTTTCTGAATGGCTGAGGGAGTTACGATTACAGTAAACCTGGGCAAACCTCAGCTAAATTGTTACAGAACTAAACTCAGACACAAACTTGTCTCTGCAATTCCATCCTAGTGGAACTAGAAAAGGCTTTTATGCTTAATAAGAGCCATGGAGAAACAGGCTTTTAGAGTTAGCAACCCTAAACGTTTTATAGATGAATACATTTAGGCCTGGACAGGAAATGAAGTCAGTTATTAAGAACATAATTATTGAGGGGCTACCATGAGACAGGCACTGTGATTCAAGGTGACTAATATGGGCTCTGCCCTCCTATAGATTACACACCAATAGGAAACACTTACAAGTAAACAGGTCATTTTTCACCCAAGATCACATAGATAATGGCTTGGAAACGGCACCCATGAAACCTAACAAGAGGTAACCTTTATTTTGTGATATCCTTGTGGACAGATCAGCTTTGTGACTTTTGCTTTGACACTTATATCTAGTAAAGTGTCCTTGATCTTAATATCTAAAGCATAGAGTCTTTGGACAGACACTCTAGGCAGACCTGCCATCTCCTACTCCCTTCTGTGAGCAGCGGTATCACCACAGCCCGTATAATACTGGCACTTCCTACAAGCACCCACGGTCTCCTTCATTACGTGGAAGCGGTTGGCACCATTCCTATCCACCACTGCCACCCAGTGACTCTTTTGGGTACTACCAGCTCAGGTTCTACTTCCTGATTTATTTATTTACTGACTGACTGACTTACTTATTTACTTATTTATTATTCTGAACTCGGGATTCCTCCCTCTCTGGCAGAAAGATGTTGACTCTGGTCTCTAAGGTCCCTTCTGTCTTGAGATCCTGTGATTCTACAATTACCTTTGATGTTAGAAGGCATTGCTGAGCAAGAAACTTAGTTGATTACAAGTCAATAAAACTTTGATGAGGTGTTCCAAAAAACGAGAAGAAGAAAACACACCCAGGAGAATGAAAAGCTCAATGTGAATGTAAAGAACTTGGCAGAAACTCTGTTGGAGCAGTAGCCATGTAGCCGTTAATTCTCTTAGGAGTGGCTCTCCACCCTGCAATTATGTACCACTTTCTTGCTAAACTTCCAAGAACACAATTTCACTTGATTCTATCACAAATGATACTCTGCGTGTTTAATGGAAAACTTTTCAGCCGCTATTTATTTCAGTATTGTAGAATGGCCAAAAAATTCCTCAGTGTCTACTCTGGTATTCTTCAGCAGTGTACCGAATTTGTTTGTAGTTACTATGAAACACACAAGGCGGATCAATGCCAAATGTTGATGAGAAAGAGAGCTCACTTTGCTTACTCTGTCACATGCCTTTCCATGTAACCAGCAAAACCCTGGATTATACTCCAAGGGCTGTTTAGCAACAGGCTTACTGCTAGGACCTATGGCCTCTGTAAGGTCTACCAAAATAATTTTATAGGAAAATAATGTTTATTGACTTATGCACAAGGAAGCACAACATAAACATCAATAATTAACTTAATATCTATGATAATATACCATTTATTATTAAATTTAGTATTTAAAAGAATTATATTACATTTAGGAATAATTTGAAGGTCAAATTTTTCTCCCATTACAAGAATTTCTCAGTATGTGTGGTGATTGCCAAAAAGAACCTCGCTGGTCATAAATTAAACTAATTACTCTCAAACAATTTGAGGAACAAATTTATAAAAATCAGTTTCAGATATACAGTGAAAAGTCATTTATTTTATTGTTGGATGTGAGGCATTCACATGTATTTGATATAATGTGTAGGACTACTGTGCATTTTTTTTCTGAGTCACATAGAATCAAGATGATTTTTTTCTTCAAATTTTTATTTAAATTCTAGTTAGTAAACATATAATATAATACTGTTTTCAAGGACTATGGTGGTTTTAAAAGTCACTGAATACTCTTGAAGGTTTTCTCCAAAGAATTAAATGTATACTTGCTTTAATTCTTGCTGCAAACACCAAATATCTTTCAATTCTCAAATCTATGAATTTCATAAAAAATCTTAAAAGTCCATAAAAAATTTGTTCTCTATTTTGTTATCATCTATACTTATTTATTTCTATTTTTTTGCTTGAGAGAGAGAAAGAGAGTACAAGCACAGAGGCAGAGGGAGAGGGAGAGAGAGAATCTTAAATAGGCTCCATTCGATCTCACAACCGTGAGATCATGACCTGAGCCGCAATAAGAGCCAGATGTGTAACCAACGGAGCCACCCAGGCGCCCCAATCCTATTTTTAATTATCTATCACTGCGTTAACATCATGCTCCAGGAAAGAAAAAAAAAAAAAGTACCATGTTTACCCTGGGGCTGTGTTTGAGTATCTGACACACCACCCCTGGAATATGTGAGTTCTATGGTTTGAGATGGACAGCTCCTGAGAGATAATGGCAGCAACCCTATTCTCTCTGTTCTTCCTTTGAGAAAAGTTTGAGAAATCATTGCAGCAAATTGTAAGGCCTTTGACTTGATGAAAAAGTCTAAGGAGAGGTACCTGGCAGGCTCAGTCCACAGAGCATGTGATTCTTGATCTCAGGGTTGTGAGTTTGAGTCTCACGTGTGGCACAGAGTTTACTTTAAGGGGGAAAAAAGGTGTCTAAGGAGTTGTTTTTATTTTCTTTTTGTTTTTATCACAAGGTGACATCATTTGCCTGTGTGTAACAGTCTGCATACACGTGCAGGGCAAATTAGAAAATATTTTCTGAGGGATACCTGGGTACCTCAGTTGGTTAAGCATCTCACCCTTGATTTTGGCTTGGAGCCTGCTTGGGATTCAATAAACAAACAAACAAACAAACAAATTTTTAAAAAAGAAAAGAAAATATTATCTAAGGATGATTCAAAATGTTCAGAATGCAAGAAGCAACTGAGGGTAAGCTTTTCTTCTTCCAGTCCTCTGTAAGAGTTGACCCAGACCCACTTCCAGGCATTACATGGTTCTTCCATGTTCCTCCCTGTCCTTTTTAAATAGCACCTCATAATTCTACCTTTGGCCATGAAACACCTACTTCTTGGGGAGCTAGGCTACCTCCTTTCTCCTGAGGATAAAACTGCTCTCAACTGCTCTCCTCACAGCTGGCTTACTAACTGACTTGCGTACCTGGCATCCTGCCTTCAACAGTTGTCTGATCGACCCTTCGCTGGGCTCAGGGTTCCCTAAAAGTCCCCCCTTCTTCATAGCTCTTGCCTCCTATCTTACTTACTGTCTCATCTTAGGAAACTGGAGCTGCATCCCTTCTCCTTGGTTGCTCCATCCTCTTTTAGGGAGGCATTTGGTGTATCTTGATGATCTTTGTGTTCCAGGACCTAGCACAGTGTCTGGTACCTAGGAGGGACTTATGCAAAGTTTGTTAATATGTTAACCAATAAAGGAATTAAAGAGTGTGGATGGGTTTTGTAATGCTGTGACTGATAGGAAGGAAAACACTCAGCCATCCTAAGGGATAGGAAAGAATGGTTGGGGCAAGAAGTTGTGTTCAGGAAACATTTAAATAGACTTCACAAAGGAATGGACTGACAAAACGTTTGAGATTAATGAGGAAGGGAAAAGAAAAGATGTACTTAGGTGACTGAGGATACCTGATTCATACAGCTTTGTCAGAGAGGGAAGTCCCCATCCTTTTAGCCTCATCTGGCAATGCCGTTCTGTGCCGCTACCACACATCCTTTTGCCCTTGGCAGGAGCCCCTGTTGGAAGAGATGGTGATGGGCCCCGGCCCCCTCTTGTTGGTCTTCATGCTGGGTCTGGGTTTGACCCCACCAACCCTGGCTCAGGATGACTCCAGGTACAAACACTTCCTGACCCAGCACTATGACGCCAAACCAAAGGGCCGGAATGACAGATACTGTGAAAGCATGATGGAGAGACGAGGCCTGACCACACCCTGCAAAGACACCAACACCTTTATTCACGGCAACAAGGGCAGCATCAAGGCCATCTGTGGAAATAAGAATGGAAACCCTTACAGAGAAGCTTTAAGACTAAGCAAGTCTCCTCTCCAGGTCACCACGTGCAGGCACGTAGGAGGGTCCCCTCGACCTCCCTGCCGGTACAGAGCTACACCAGGCTTCAGACACATTGCTGTTGCCTGTGAAAATGGCCTGCCTGTCCATTTTGATGAGTCCTTTTTCCATCCATAACCAGCAGGCCACAGCTGGCTCTGCTCCTCTTTCCTTGCATTTTCCTCCACACCCCAGAACAGTGGTGGCAACATTCATTGCCAGGGGCCCAGAGAATGAGCTGCCTGGATATCTTGTTTTCCTTTTTACAACATGCTTCATAAATAAAAATGTTTCTGAAAGCAGTAAGAATCAAAGTCTTCTCACTGATTATTGGCCTATTAATCTATTAAAACCCCATTTTCTCTATTCAGCTGCTCCCTGAGAGGATTGTATAGAATAGAAATGCCACTCTTTTCCTTATCAGTCAGTCCCTTATCAGCCAATAGGGAGGTGGACTTTAGCTTTCTGTAAAAAGAGGGTGGTTAAATTAATCTTACAGAGAGAACTAGGAAAATTCCAGGGCTCATGGCAGCTAAACAGAGTTTTCAGAAGGGGCAAATAATGAGCCCAATATTACTTTTACAGGTGTTAAACCCTCAGGAGAACAGTTGAAGACTAAATACCAACAGATTAATTACACTTTCTTTCACACACCTGTACATGTAATCCTGCATAAATACCAAAATCCATACGGACTATATCTTAAGCAGGAGCTAATTTTTTGATGTTCCTTTGAATGGAATGGAATGCTCCCTGGATATTCTCATGGCTATTTTATATAAAGATCAAAAAGTGATTATTTATTTAGTCATTCATTCATTATTACATTCTTTTCTCCCTAATCTCTTACTTTATCAATAAATGTCTGGCAACTGTGAGGTCTTAGGGAAGTCATAGAAAGACTCTAAGCTTCCTTTTTATTCTTCTTCAACTAGATTTGTTTTTCAAGTAAACAGAAACTCAGGTTAACGACATTCTCTTTGTAACATACACTTATTAGCCCACAGGTTAAGTGATTAACTTCCTGTTAACCTAATTTCTATCAACAGTTGCCTCAATATTTTATTTAGATAGCAGTTGATAAATTACAGTTATAAATCACAGTTTTGGCATCTTGTGAATATGTAACTGCTGTGGTCACAGTTCCCAGTGGTGGCCTCCCCTGCTGCCCACATTGCCCTGAAATGGGCCAGAAACCCTGGCTGCTCAATACTCGGGTTATAGACCCGTGTCTAGGTGCCATCTTGGAGCGCCCAGCCTCCCTGAAAATATTCAGATTTTGGGAGGAAGTGATAAAGAAGTAGGTTACTGGTGTACACTCAGCACATGAGTACATGAGTGATCTATTGATCACATGGCTTGAGTTATCTATTTCAAAATTTAAAACACTGTCTCTCGTTAGAGAGAAGAATTTTCCAAATCTGTCTTATTAGAAAATTTGCCTTAATATGAGATCTCAAAAACTCCTTAAGGAGTAAGAAAATTCCAATTTGTGGTAGAATATTTGGACACTTTCTCAAGTTCTCCAACCAGCACTATGTCCTTGATATGAGGCAAAGTGACTTCCATACAGATCATTGCCCCACTCAAAGTCTTGAGAGAGAAGGTCAAAGGCATGGACCATTATTATTTTGATCAGACAATATTTGAGAAAACTCATGCCTTTTCCAAACATATGCCTAGAGCATTATCACTGCATACTCTGCTCTAGAGTTGGGGCAAATGACTGTTTCCTGGGAAATGACATGGCAACGGGCTGTGAGTGCTTCCTGTCCTGCTGTTGGAGCTAGTAGCAGCTTGGTGGCCAATCCTAGCACTTTTTGCCCTGAGTTTTTGTTCTCTCACCGTCAAAATCTGTTTAGAATGACATGTCAAGTCATAGGCAAGTCATTTTATCTGGAGTGAATCATTTGAAGAATTGAAGTGCTGGCCAGCTGTACTTTGTTGACTTTGCAAGAAAAAGAGAAGAAAAACCTGAAAAATGTCAAGTCCTTTGAGGAATGGTCACATTCAAGGAAGGAACTTCAGTGCAACTTGGATAGGACAAATTTCTCTAGAGACATAGCAGGAATGCTAGGAGGTTAGATATTTCAGCTTAAAAGATGCCTTATAATTTCTTGGGAATATAGGTACTCTACAAAATAAAGGGGAGGGAATCCAAAATATAGGCAATTTGGTGCAGTTATTTATTATTTTTATGAGATTGAAGGAAGCAAAGAAAAATGAGAAGAATGAAGTTGTGGAAAGATCATTGCCAACATTTACTAAACACTTATCATTGGCTGGGCATTGTGGTAAGCACTTGATACTGATTTTATTCTTAAGTCTTCATAACATCTCTAAGAGGTGGATATTATCATTATGCTCATTTTACTTATGCTGAGAGGTTAAGTAATTTACCCAAGGTCACACAGTTAATGTAGCAAAGCTAGGTTTTCGGGATCACCATATCAAAATTAGTTCTTATTGAGAGTCAACCTGGTACAGGTTGAAAGACTTTGGTCTTTCTCTGGTTTGGCTCTGACCAAACACTATGTGTTGGGATGATTTGGGGATCATTTGATTTTCTGTTGTACCTAGCACCCTGAGATGTAGCCACTGACATCTACATTGGACTTCTGTTCACAAATATTTTCCCATGTCTTGGTAAATCAGTTGGTTGTGTGGCTGAAGCCATGGGTTCATTCTTGTATAAATAGTTCAGGTCTTCTCTGTAGCCAGTTATGTTGCTGAACCATGATCTTGGTCACAAAGGATGAGAGAAAGCAGACAGAACTGTGCAAGATGAGAGGTGCAAGATCCAATCTGGGAAAAACAACCCAAAGGACATCACTGTGATGAAGCCATTACCCAAGTGCTAAGTGTGCTTTCAGAAGTTGTACCCATGGGTGCTGGGGTAAGGAGTAAATTGAGCATTATTTCTCCCATTGATCCTTCTTCCCACAGCTACCTTCACTTCCCCCTTTTCCTGACTCCATCTCTCATATCAGCTGCAGGCACAAGAACATGACATAGAGCTTTAGAACTTTCTGTGCAGAGGCAAAAGGTGGCTGTGAACATAAGAGGTGGTATGTAAAAGAATGATGGTTATATTTCATCCTGTCATTACCACTAACCAAAGTGTAGGCTTTAGGTGGAACAGATCACAGGTCCCTCACCAGCCATTTCAGTGGCTTACACGCATGACCTGGCATCAAGAAGCACCTTTGCAAACAAAGGCCAGTAGTGCCCATATATGTCAACCTGGGGGTTCAGCTGAGGCCAGTCCTTGGACTGCACATGTAGAAATGGGCCTATCTGCCTCAAAGTATTTCCTGTGCTACTTTGGGATGCTCACTCCCTGTTGAATTGTAGGTTTTTTGTTTTTTGGGTTTTTTTTGTTTTTTGTTTTTCTTTTTTGCTCTACTGAGTCAGCCCTGCCTCATTGCACGAGTCAAGTAGTTCACAGTTTGAGTTCATGTCAGTCCCAGACTGAGAGCCAGAAGGCAGCATCTAGCTAGTGACTCTCACCTCCACTCCCACCCTACTCCACCCCTCAACATTCTGTTGCTAGAGAGAAGCAACTCTGAGCACAAACGTCTATAGTATCTTGAATATTTGGGACGTGGGATGGGAGAAGCAGTTAGAAGATGGCAGAAAGAGTACAGATTTTAGACCCAGATAGGCCTTGGATTCCTTTCTTTAATTAGTCTACAGAAGCAATGTTCTGAAACTATATCACAGTGCTCTCTTTGTCATTGCTCCAGAGGTGTTTTTTTTTTTAACTCCATAAATAACTCTTTATTTCCCACCATCAAGAGGTGCCAACACAAAGATCCTGCAGTGAGAGAATACAGAGAATTACCAACAGCTATTGACAAGACAGGCAGAGCATCAAGGATAGGATAGATGCAGGATACTGGAGTATATCACCAGGGCCTAGTTTTTTGGGTTACATAGAAACAGGAAAAAAAAAAAAAAAAAACAACACAAAAAAACAAAAAAACAAAAAAAACCCCACCCCACAGTCTATGTCTTTTTGTGGAGATTGTGCTATTTAGATTTCTTTTTAAATGTTTATTTATTTTTGAGAGAGAGAAAGAGCATGAACAGGGGAGGGGCAGAGAGAGGGGGGCACAAAGGATCCAAAGCAGGGAGCTTGAATCCATGAACTGTGAGATCATGACTCGAGCTGAAGTTGGATGCTTAATGGACTGAGCCACCCAGGTGCCCCTAGATTTATCTTTTTTTAACTTTAAAAAATGTTTTATTTTTGAGAGAGAGTGTGTGAGCGGGAGAGGAACACAGAGGGAGGGAGACAGAATCTGAAGCAGGCTCTGAATCTGAGCTGTCAGCCCAGAACCCAATGTGGGGCTTGAACCCACAAACAATGAGATCATGACCTGAGCTGAAGTTGGACACTTAACTGACTGAGGCACCCAGGTGACCCTAGATTTATTTATTTTTTAGTGTTTCTTAGCTTATTGGTCAGTTCCACAAGCCTGGATAACACCTTCACTCTCTGTATCCATTTAATTTAATTTATTCACAAGCTCACTCATTTCGTTTATTAGTTTATTTAGCCAATATTTACCACCTTTAATGCACTATGGCTGCATACTCTGCTTTTGTAGGGTTTCTTTATGTAGGATTAACAGGATTTTCAAAAGGCCCTGATTTTAATACCATAGGAGAGTAGCCAATTGAGAGGAAAAACTAAACCTAATACTGCCCTGACCTCTTTTCTGTACTTCTCCAATTCAGTAAGGAATTAAAATCAGTTCATAAGCTTGCCTTGACATATCTTGAATCTAGGGGCACCTGGGTGGCTCAGTCGGTTAAGTGCTAAGTGTCCGACTCTTGATTTTGGCTCAGGTCATGATCTCATGGTTTGTGAGTTCATGCCCCACATCAGGCTGCTCGATTCCAATCCAGAGCCTACTTGGAATTCTCTGTCTCTCTCTGTGTTCCTCCCTGTTCTAAAGAAAGAAAGGAAGGAAGGGGAGGGGAAGGGAGGGGAGGGGAGGGGAAGGGAGGGGAGGGGAAGAGAAGGGAAGGAAAAAGACATATCCTGAGTCTATCCAAACTTTTGGGAATCAGAGTCTCCAAAGGACCCACCACTCCAAAGATCACATGACTGGAGAATTACCTCAAGAGACAGTCAACTCCAGTTTCACTGAGATCTGCCTTTTTTTCCAGTTCATGCTCTAACTACACAGGCCAGATACACTGGATAGATGCCTAGTCAGCATCTGACCTGAGTTATTGTGCTCAGTGCAGCAACTTCTCTCCATAAAAGAGAACAGCCCTTGCTTTCAGAGAAAGCCATGTTTGCAAACTGTTTGCTCTAGCAAAAGCAACCCGAGAAAAGTCGTGAGCAGATAAGAATGAGGAGCTGGTACAGATGAGGAAAGAGACTAGAGTTGAGGAAATGTCAGTTTGCCATTCTCTTCACCTCTCTCCAGTGCCCAAATCTTACCTTCCTTTCTCCTGCCCCTCGGGCTTCTCTCTAGGTGTCTCCAAGGTCGTGATGGCTCCCGAGAGGATTCATTCATTGCTTCTGCTCTTGCTGCTGACCCTGCTGGGGCTGGTGCTGCCCTCCTATGGCCAGGATCGCATGTACCAACGATTCCTGCGGCAACACGTGGACCCTGAGGGGACAGGTGGCAATGATGCCTACTGCAACTTGATGATGCAAAGACGCAAGATGACGGTGCGTCAGTGCAAGCACGTCAACACCTTCATCCACGAAGACATCTGGAACATCCGTAGTATCTGCAGCACTGCTAATATCCAGTGCAAGAATGGCAAGATGAACTGCCATGAGGGTGTAGTGAAGGTCACCGACTGCAGAGAGACAGGAAGTTCCAGGACCCCCAACTGCAGATATCGGGCCTTGGCGAGCACCAGGCGTGTGGTCATTGCCTGTGAGGGTAACCCAGAGATGCCTGTGCACTTTGACAGATAGACACCCTCTGCTTGGGTGATGGCCCAGTGCTTGGCCTTCAGCTTAATGCTTAAACATCAATGAGTAATGCATTTGAGCTGCCTTAGGCTCTCTCTCCTCTGCTTACTATTCTTTTTCTCTTTGTAACCTGTTCTGTTAAGCACATTGTATCAGAGAGAAATGGAGACATAAACTTAAAATGAGGCTGGGCTTTGCTGTAGTAAACTTTTTTGTTTTCTTTTATAATACTGGTCAGTTGAGCTGTATCATCAGATTCTATCCTCTGGAATTTAGTCATTATCTGTATTTATATTGCACTTCAAACATTTCAAAGTGCTTTCGTCCAAATTAACTCATTTTAATAGCACGGCAGTCCTGTGATGCTGTTGTATATAGGAGTCCAAAGTTAAGAGATTTGCTGAAGACCATGAAGCTAGTGGAATAGCTGACACAAAAATCCAGTGGAAACGACTACCAATCCAGGGCTTTTTCCATGTCATCACAAGGAACAATTTGAAAGTAATTGCTTTTTGTTATTCCCAAAAGTCAGCTGTTAGGAGAAGCATTACAAATCTGGAAATATATGCTGGCAAATGAGAGCTCTATCCGTGTGATTTGGCTCCCTTGTTATGCTGGGCACAAGAAATGATACAAGGAATTTTCTTTCTCTCTCTCCCCCACTTTTGAATCACTCTAATAAGTCAGAATATTAAAAATGTACTAGATCATTTACGACTCATTTACTCTTCCTGACTAAATGTTTTTCTTATTTTCCTTGTAATAAAGGACATAAACTGCAGGTATCTGAGAAGGCTGTGCTATGGTTCTTTTGGGGGGATTATTTTTCCCCTCCTGGGTAGGGAAAAATTCTTTGAATTCTTAAGTTTATAAGTATGCACACACCTTAGTATCCTCGTAAACTCTGGTCAAAGACTAATGCCCATCAGATCCATGAGTATGGCACAGAAACCTTTGTCTCATTTACTCCAGAGGAAGGAATCCCTCTCAGTTCTTTTTTTTTTTTTAATTTATTTATTTATGAGAAACAGAGAGAGACAGAGCATGAGCAGGGGAGGGGCAGAGAGAGAGAGGAAGACACAGTATCTGAAGTAGACTCCAGGCTCTGAGCTGTCAGCACAGCGCCTGACATGGGGCTGGAACTCATGAACCGTGAGATCATGACCTGAGCTGAAGTTGGACGCTTAACCAATGGAGCCACCCAGGTGCCCCGATCCTTCTCAGTTCTTAAACCCTTTCCTTCTCCCTCTGACTATTTTAAGCAAATTGGGGAGATGTATGAAGACGCTAGGGCTAAAGAAAGGAAGTGTGTGTGTATGTGTGTGTGCGTGCACGCGTGTGTGTGTGTGTGTAAGGACTAAACTGAAACCATCTGAGTTACAGCAGATACAGAAAGAAATCATTTTATAAATTGATTAGATATACATATACATCGTGAAATAATGACTACGATCAGGCTAATTAACAAATCTATCACCTCACTGTTTTTGATGTGTGTGGTAAGAATAAGTAGGATTTAGGGGTGCCTGTGTGGCTCAGTCGGTTAAGCATCTGACTTTGGCTCAGGTCATGATCTCACAGCTCGTGGGTTCGAGCCCTGTGTTGGGCTTTGTGCTGATAGCCAGCTCAGAGCCTGGAGCCTGTTTCAGATTCTGTATCTCCCTCTCTCTGACCCTCCCCTGTTCACGCTGTTTCTCTCTCTCTCAGAAATAAATTTAAAAAAACATTTAAAAAAATTTTTAAAAAAGAACACTTAGGATTTACCCTGTTAGCAAATTGAAAGTATATAGTAGTACTATTTCGCCACCTGTTAAAGAAAAACTTTAACTGAGTAAAAAAAATTTTTCAGTTTATGTATTTATTTTTAGTAATTTCTACACCCAACATGGAGCTCAAACTTCACAACCCCAAGATCAAGAATTGCATGTTCCACAGACTTAGCCAGTCAGGAACCCCTTAACTGAGTACATTTTTAAGATCTTATTGGCTTTACTCAATGATTCATGGATCAGGCAGCATCCAGTCTAACAGATAGAAAGGAGCTCCAAGGACCAATACAAAATAAAACACTTTTATAGGCAGGAGTAAGTAGGAACAAGGATGTTCTACTAGACAAAAAGCAGGTCCTATATTGCAAGGTTACTTTCTTTAAGGGAGTGGCAGGAATCTATTAGGCAGATTATTTAACTAGTGCATCAAGCGGTTTCTGGTGTCTGGGAGAGCAAAAACTAATTTAAGTTGGAGGATGTGGGCTTAGCATAAGCAACTCCATTTTGGGCCTGTGGTCTTGTTTTAACATACCTACAGTCACTGTGCTATACATCAGATCCCCAGCATTTATTTATTCAGTTGCATAACTAAACATGACCAACATCTCCCCATTTCCCCTTCCCTCTCAAGCCCTTAGTAACCACCACTATACTCTGCTTCTATGAGTTTGACTATTTTAGATTCCACATATAAGTGAGATCATATAGTATTTGTCTTTCTATGTCTAGGTTATTTCACTCAATATAATGTCCACCAGGTCCATCCATGTTGTCAAAAATCACAGGATTTCCTTCCTTTTTAAGGCTGAATAACATTCCATTGTATATTTATATCACATTTTCTTTACCACACATTTTCCTTTTCCATTCAACATCACTACCTATCAGGGAAGTGCAGATCAAAACCACAGTGACATATCACCTCACACCTGTTCTAGGATGGCCATCATAAAAAAAAATAACAACAGGTGGTGGTGAGTGTAGTGTTAAGTCCTGGACATTTAGCTTTTTTAATTGCAATGTAAGTGCCTAACAGTAAGCTTTTGATTGCCAAGGCATCCATTTCAAAGATATCCAACTCAAATAAACATACTTACAACAAAGTAAGGAGCTATGCCACCCCACTCATGAAGTTCTCCTTTTAGCCCTGGATGACCTAGATAACTGACCATTTGTGTGGCCTTGCTTATCCTTTTCCAAGCTTTAATTCCTGCTCTTATATCTTAAACTTGCCAATAAAAACTGAACTCTCAAAATCTTAGGCATCCCACCCATGACTCCAATAAACTCAGAGCCCTGAGTCTGTGCACTCCTTCTCTACACAAGACCTCACAGTATGACTTTGAGCATGCCCTGTACCTTCCAGAATATATGAGTAATAAGCTTTGTTTTTTCAAAGTTCCCAATGGTTGTTGCTGAGATGTATCCTGCAATCATAATAAGAGCCACAAGGGCCAGTCCAGCCACAAGATTGGCTCTGGTTGGGGAAATGTCTGTGGGGCTCCATGTAAATCATCCGGGGAATGTACATGCCTCCAAGCATCCCTAGTTGATGACATCATGCTGAGAGCCACACCAGCCTTGCTAGATGAACAGTCACAGTGAGGAAATGGCAGCGTTTGCACAGCTCCTGCCATGAGAAACAAAAAACTGGTATCTCCTTCTGCCACTACTGGCTCATGTTGGAAATGAGTCTCCTGGTATTGAGCAGGCCTCACAATATTCCAAATCAGACCAATATTCCCCACACAGATTTCTCATAAGGAAAAGCATATTCCTGCCTCTTCAAAAGAGATTTTAGATGACAGCACTGTGGATGATTGTCAAAAAGGCTCTTCCTATGGGCCTTGTAGATCCAAGACTTAGATAATAAAGGGGATTAAGAACACCAGAGTTACAATTGAGCCTGGCCCCTAGACAGAGAGCCTAATTTAGAGTTAAGGAACAGATAAGGACAGAACTTAAGTTAATACTTAAACCTTTTCTAACTAGTGATGTATAGCAGTCCCTTTCCTAAGGCCTACTTTCCACAAACACCCCCCCCCCCGCCCCCATATACTGACGGCTGGGATGAGGATAGATAAGAGTAGCTAAAACATAACCCAAAAACAAAGGCTGACACATATAGGGCCTCCATGGTGTTTACACATTCAGCATCAAGTCAAAAAAGTTTCCACAAACAACTTATTAACCGTCTCAAAAACATTCGTCCTCTTGTGAGCCAGACAAAATGACTCCTAGCCTATCTATATACAACTTAACCTATGTCCTAATCCTAGCGTTATTAACTTAGAACAAATATGTATGTCATCCTGTTTTTCACTAAGAACATCCTGTTATTTCTGTAGTTGTAAGATTTACTCAACCTCACTATGATTGGGGTAATTCTGCAAGAATACTTCCAAAAAACCTGTTCTTATACACTTTCCAAAGCATCTTATCACAAAGAGTTTCCATTGTAAAAATTCCTTTTTCTGATATCATGTTGTCATTGGACCTTTAAATAAAGACACTAAAACCGACAGGACAGAGATGCCTGCCTGGTGATCAGATAGAATCTCGGGCCTCTCTCACTCTCTCTCTTGCCGACACCGTCCATCCTTCAGGGACCCCTGGACCAGCTGGAGTGGGTCTCCAGCAACATCATGATGCAAGAGCGGAGTCCAAGACAAAAGAGTAAGGATATGGAGAAAAGAGAACCTTGCTACACTACTGGTGGGAATGTAAATTGGTGCAGCCACTCTGGAAAACAGTATGAAGATTCCTCAAAAAATTAAAAATAGAACTACCTTATGATCTAGCAATCCCACTTCTGGGTATTTATACAAAGGAATTGAAATCAAGATCTCAAAGAGATACCCATACCTCTATGGTCATTGCAGCATTGTTCACAGTAGGCAAGACAGGGAAAAAAACAAAACAAAAAGAGCATCAGCAGAAAAAAATCTTATCTGAATTTCCATCATTTGACTAAAGCAGAGCCTCCTAAGAAAACAGCCACCACTAACTTCCCTCCAAAGCAGTTTCCAGACAGGAGGTGTTTCAAGAAAACTGTGTAGAGTTGCCCAGGTGGATCAGTCAGTTGAGCATCCCACTTCAGCTCAGGTCAAGATTTCACCATTCTTGAATTCAAGCCCCACATGGAGCTCACTGCTGTCAGCACAGAGCCTGCTTCGGATCCTCTGTTCCTCTCTCTCTGTCCCTCCCCAGTTCATGCATGGCTCTCTCTCAAAAATAAATAAAACACAAAAGCAAGCAAGGAAGGAAGGAAGGAAGGAGAAAGGGAGGGAGGGAGGGAGGGAAAGAAGGAAGGAAGGAAGGAAGGAAGGAAGGAAGGAGAGAGGGAGGGAGGGAAGGAAGGAAGGAAGGAAGGAAGGAAGCAAGGAAGGAAGGAGGGAGGGAAGGAAGGAAGGAAGGAAGGAAGGAGAAAGGAAGGAAGGAAGGAAAAGAAAACTGTGTAAATGAGCTTTATCAGAACCTTCCATTTGTCTCCCTAAAAGCCTATTTGTTTTTCCCTTGGAAGCTGTTTCCCCACTCTCTTTTACCTAACTAAGTTGGTTTATAAACTTCTATTTCTAGCTGGTCAGTGAACACCTTCATCAGAATGCTCCTGCATATGGATGAATAAAGTCCGTTTTCTTTTTTTCCTGTTAATCCACCTATTTTCCTTGCAAAAATGTGTTTGTGTAAGTATATTTAGAGTGAGGAAGAAGGATGGGAAAAGAATTCTGTCCTTGGCTCAATCCAAGTAGTCATGAGAGTTGGTAACTAAAAGAAACAATCTGGGGTGCCTGGTTGGCTCACTTAGAAGAGCATACAAACTCTTGATCTGGGGGTCATGAGCTTGAGCCCCATGTTGGGTATAGAGATTACTTCTAAAAAGGCAAACTTAAAAAAAAATAAATAAAAGAAACAATCCATGCTGGGCACATAACCTCACTTGTGAAATTTACTATCGACTCCTGTCTCTATGCCCTCTGCTCAGGTTCTACTGACCTTCAATCCTTCAATAATGA